CGGCCGCACCATGAAGATCAAGGATGCCAAGAAGCCATGTAAGCGCGGGGCCGCCCGCTTGGGCGTTATGGGCTCGGGGGCTGCCTGCAGGGAGCTTCCCCGCGCCGCCCGCGGGCCTCTGAGGAGCGTTTCAGGTGATGCCGCCGGTGGGACGGGCCCCGCAGCGCGGGGACTGGCGCTCTGGGGAGCCCAGGAAGGCTTGGAGAACGTGCCCTCGTTTGTGAAGTGGGCAGCTCAGCGGTGTTGCCAAGCGCCCTGCCTGTGCCGGCAGCTGCTCTCGCTCTGGGTTTTAAGGGCTAACCAACTTTACGTTTTTAAAAGAGTATAATATAGCCTTAACATCTTTGGGTGCAGTTATCTCGGAGCATGACTAATTCTTTAATTCTTCTGTTCAGTAACTCTAACTGTGCAAGTCACAGGTGTATGCGGAGCAGGTCGCCTGCCAGGGTACACAGAGGTGTGCCATAGCTCAGAGGGACCATAAGTTGGGCCCTGTGACTTAAACTGGTTTTTGTTTTGTTTTCAGGGTGAGCTCCTAAAAGGTGGGGAAAATGGCTAATCCTCAAGACTTTAGACCTAATGTTATTTCCTTTCTTAGATGAKGAAAAGAGTATATGACTGAAAAGTTAAAATGTATATATAGCAAATATATTGCTTGAGCAGGACCAAATCCATGAGTGTTTGTATACTACAGGTAGTATATAGTATGGATCTGTAATTATCTGTAGATGTACAATTGAGTTAGGGCATGAAAATGCTTACTGTTCTTTGTGGTGTGTGGAGRGAAACCCTAACTATCTGTCCTGTAGCATCCAGTAGGCTGGCACCTGCTGTTAATGCCAACGGGTGGGAATTTTTGAGCTGACTGTGTTTATGAAAGGTACAGCTCGGGTGGCTCTTCCTACTGTAATATTTAAGGAATGATACCATGACTCTGAAGCACTAACTGGCTGTAAAACTTTGGAGTGGTTTGGTAATTTGAAGCAGTCCAAGTATGGCTGCTTCTACCGGAATGTTGCTCGTTTCAGGAATGTCACTGCTGGGCGCGGGTAACTTCTCTAGTGGTGGATTTAAAACCTGTTGTCCATGCCTGGCATTGTTAATTAGACATTGATTTAGCTATTTAAGGGAAGAAAATTTGTTGCAGATTTCCAGTTCTTGAACTTGAACTCTTATGTTGCCTTTGCTGATACATAATAAGGAGATCGCTTAGATGTTGCGAGGACACAAATTTTCCATGAAAGGGGGAAGTATTGTATCAAACGTCATTGTTTATTCCATATTGTCATTTTAACACACRTATTCTAAAGCTGTTAGGGATGATAGTTTTAACAAGGTGCCAGAGCATAGTTGTAGTGCGCTGCGGACTTGCTGTGCGAGCTTTTCCTTCTGAGCAGAAGCCAAATATTCAGTAAAACTGACTAAAATGGGAATATTTGAATAAGAGCAGATCCACAAAAGCACTTAAGATAGAAAATTGCATTGATTTACATGGGCTTAGGTGCTCATGCGCTGCACTGGAATTGGTACTGCCTGGAAGTTGAGCAAGGCTTAGAAACCACTTCTGTCTAGTTATGAATTATGTGGCTAGAATAAGACAGTTCTGGGTGTTTTTGGTGCCATGGCTGACTCAGTATGTGTTTTTTGGAGAATGTGAGTATTTAATAATGCCTGCTGGAGGCAGATTTGATGGGGGCAGGAAGATAGGGTTAACTGTTGGTTAACTAGAGGTTATTTTGCTCTTGATAAGTGCCTGCAAAGTGGAACTGAGCGCATTAGCCTATCTGTACTTCTATCTCTATAGCCGTGTTTAGCCTTATAAAAGCCAGCGTGATTGCAATGATGAGATGCCAGGGTTGTAATAAGAGGTGATGACAGAATGGAGTTTCTAATGTGGATTCAGTGCCTGGGCATGTTTGCGTGCTTCTRACCTTAAAATCTTTAAATGACTGGCTCTGTAGTAATAACAGCAGTTTTTGAGAGGTGTAGCTGAGTTCACGGAGTGTAGCTTCTAATATCGAGACTCTTGCAAAGGAAACTTTAYTAGATGCTTTCATGTGATGGGAGGGGATAGATGTTTGCGAATGAGGGTGACATTGGGAACTTCAGAGACTATGAAATAATCATCCCCAAAGGTTTCTTGATGAACTTGGGAGGTTCTGTGCCTTGACTAGACAAAGTCGATCTCATCTATTGTTGGTAATAGCCCTTCTAGTTTAAAGGAGAGGATGGGCTGGGAGACCTCCAGAGGTCCCTTCAAAATACCGGAGGTACCATAGTTCTGCTGGGGAAATCCCTGTGAGGAAGAAGGTTGGCTCTTGTCGAAGGAACTTGCAAAGGCCATTTAGGGTGAAGGTGATAAATGAACCTCAAAGTATCTTGCAGAGCTACTGTTGAGGTGCCGTAAAGGCAACACAGAAGGGAATGATTTGGACAGAGCACTTTGTACTGGCAGACGAGTGTAAGGTACCCGAGAGAGAGAAGGGAAGGGCCAGAGCGCTGTGCTCCTCGAGTGACCTTAGCTCTAAAATGTAATAAACAGGGAAATGCCAAGGCTTTTGATATTTGGTACATAGTACACAGTATTTATTTACAGCTTGGTTAAAGAGCATGTATAAAAAATAAAACAAATGCTTACGTCCCACTTAAAGGGAATCTGGACCTTCTAATGCATGAAAACACATAATAGAAATTTGCAGAATGCTGTTTTGGTAGAAAAGAAGGACAAAAGTCTTGTCTAATCTCGTTCCATAGACAAATCCAGTCATCGTGGGTACAGTGATTCCTTGAAGGATTTGTGTGGTAGAATTGACGAAAAATCTGTTTAAGTTACTGAAGAATTTCTTTGAATTGGCCATTGTGTTCGTAGAACTTATTGTTTAGTCACATAACATGCAGTTACTAATMACTAAAAGCTGATCTTAGTCTTAATCTGATGTTACAGATTCTCATTTTGCTGTAGTTTAGAAATGTATTTCTAAAGTAATAATACTGCTAGACACAGTTTAAACTGTATTTGTATAAATCTAAGCTAAAGTGTCTGTAGCATATCTCACTGCCTTAAAAACTTCTCTCTGGAGAGATTGCTGCTACAATGTCAACACAGCTAACAGGTAAACAAGGAGGATGATGATACAGGTGGCAGGATTTTGTCATGTGCCAGCTTTGCTTGGTAGCCCCTTGCAGATGTGATAAACTTGAAGAGGAACATCTGCAGTGATTGCAGATGACCACCTGCAGCACACGTGGCTTTCTTGCAGCATGCTGGAGATGGCTTAACAGAAAAGCGTGGAGGGTTTACAGCATTTGATAGAGACATTTTCCAGTAGGCTAAATGAGAATGTTGTCACTACTGGATATTTTGATATTAAATTTTCAGTGGATTATATGGGGGAAAAATATGCCCTGGTGCGTGTGTAATCATGAGCGATGGACAAGGAATAGTACTGCATTCATGTTGTTATACCATCTCGTGTGTGTGCAAAGCATTGTCTTGCATACCTTTCTGTAGATGTTTGTCCGGTCCATCTGGAAACTTTTGCTTTAGCAGATTCCATATGCTTTATAATGAAGTCATGACAGTTAATAGCAGTGACTGTATCAGGTTAAATAGGAAGCAAAGGTCAAGGCTCTCTTTAACAGCTGAGCTATGTGCTGTTTTCCTTCCTGCTACAGGCCGTGTCAGAGATTTGGTCAGTCTAAAACTTTTACTCCTGGTACCTGTTTCCCCCTACCCAGTGATTTACTGTCTAGTCCAGTAGATTCAGTCATGCTGCTGGGGAGCTCCTGGTAGCTGGAGACAAATTGGGTCTGCAGGTGAAAGGGAGCAGGGGGAAGCTGCTTTGCCTCTTGGGCCGTGCAAACTGTGCCACATTGACCAGGAATGTTCTGTATGGAGTAGCAGCTCTTAAATGCAGGGAGAATTCTCAAATGTATTGCAGAGTGAAGGTGAGGAGAAGAAATCTAATGAGCACTTAGAGAAACCTGTTTTTCACACAGCAAAATGAGATACTGTGAGACATCACCTTGGTCATGCTAGATCTCTTTATTTTGTTTTCTGTCCTGGAGGCAGAAAACAAAATAAAGGCTCTGGAGGCTCTGTGTTTTTGTTTTGTTTTCCAGGCTGATTCTGGTAATCTAGTTGAAACCTTGCCTTAGCTGAACAGAGTGGAGTAATTRCCTTTGTTTTGTATACAGTATTCTTGGCATGTGACCCTAGCATAAGATTTGCATTTTTACCTTGTGTTTGTTGCTCATTTCCTTCTTTTTGGTTTGGTGAGTGCTATTCAGTATTGTCTGCCACCACAGACCAGTATTTTATATAAAAAGACTGCAGCTGGTCAAATACTCAGTTAAATTTTAGTCTGTTATTTGTTTTACGGGCTTAACTTGATGGTGTTGTACTGAATTAACTTTTGAAACCTTATTTTCTAGACAAAATATATGCAAATTTGGAGTGACTGTTGCTGTTTGCCATGAGTTGCTCTTTGTGTATGTTACATTCGGAAAAGCCACCAAGTTTACAGCATTCCGCTGGTCAGGAAGGTTAAATCTCCTGTTAGGAATGTTGAATTCTACCCAGCTCAAATCTGGTATGCAAGGAGCTTGGGACAGTTAAAGCAAAAACTTGTTAAGTTCTCAGGTATGTAAAGGTCTGAAAACAAATGAAATAAATTCCATTCTCTAGATGCGCATGTGCTCCCATATGTGTAACATTAGTCCAACAAAGGAAGCTCAAGTTCTATCAATGATGTTAAAATGTTGTGATATAACTGGTCAGAGATTCTGGGTATGCTTTCTCCTAGCTTGTCCCATTAGACACGCGGGTTTCTTTAAACTTCAAGCTGATTTAGATGTTAGTTTCCCATTAATCTTACTCTGTTCGAAGCAGATTATATTTTAGGCACATATCAAAAGCATAGAGAAAAAAAATGTACAGAGATGGTAAAATACATTGAGTTTGTTTCTTAACTCAAACTGTAAAATAGCACAGTATAACAAGTTCTGCCTAGTGAATTTGTTTTTCTTTACAATTAATGACTAAGAACAGGATCCAAGTTCTGTTATCAGAAGCCATCCTCAGCAAGATTAGAAGATAAATTTTGGGGGTRGAGATCGATCGTATTGCTTGCTTTTACAAAGAGCCCTTGCTGTTTGCTGTTTGTCCCCCTTGCTTGGGGACAAAAATAAGCTTTCATGGAAGCTTTTCCTTCCTTGGAAGCTAATTTCCAAGTTATATGGAAATTTTCCTTTCTCAGGCAGTATGAATTGTGGACTGGAGTCCACACTTAAACACTTAAAACTTGGCATCTGTCCTGAAATTCACAGCTGTTTTTGAAGTGGTCCAACTGTCTTAAGTTCTCCTGACAAGGGAAAAAAGTTTGGAATGTCACTCTGCATAAGGCATTAGAGTTTTTTACAGGGGATGCAATGAAGGTCCTGCCTTTCACAGGTGTTGCCCCTCATTTCTGGGCCAATAGGAACATAATAACAAGCCCATATTAATATAAACTATAAAAGTTCATGTCATGGGCATTAWCTGTTACTGTCAATTTTAAAACAAGACAATGTTGCACTTGAGCATTGCTTGAGCGCGAAAAATAAGCTGAAGGTTTTGATCCCTGTCTAGTTTGTGTGGAAAATACAAGCCACTGTGCAAAGCTGACCCAAAATCTGGCTGCCTGTTTTCTACTGTCACTTACTGTAAAAGTTTCTCATGTAAACAGCTCCCTCCCAGTATGTTAGGAATTAATTCCTCTTGAATGGCTAATTTTTGTAACTTAGTTTAGGACTGACACAGACTCTTATTTTGTGTTACAGTGAGGAGAATAAAGCTGTAGTTATGTTGCAAATCTGTGTTGTTTCCTTCATAGTAAGGAACTTAGCAGGGGCTGGGATTTTTGTCCTTAGGGTGTTAAAGTGGAAAAATCTTCTTGACCAAATAAGGGGGAAATAGTTAAGTGTTTGGTTGTATGYGTCCTACAGATCTGAAAATACTGACCAAAATGGACATATGAAATCAAAATACTATAACATGATTTGAGAACAGAACTTGCAAGGCCCTCTGCTCTGATGATGCATCAGGCTTTATGCTTTTATTGAGCTGAATATTTTTTTATTGTAATTCCTTTTTGATGGCATTTGAAGACATTATATGATGAGGCATAAGTTATTTTAGGATTGCGGCCAAGATGCCCAAAAACTTGAGAAGTGCAGGCGTAACAACAAAATGAGGATCATCTGCATGCTTTTGATAATAGTAATTAAATATATATATATGTATATTTGCATGGATTTTCTTATTTGGTAACACTGTTACATTATTTCTTGAATGCAACATTGTGTGTTAATACTCTTCCTGCGTAGGAAGTGCTTTTCTAAATTGCAGGAAACAGTTCTAGGAATTACTGTATTTCTTAATTATGAACMGCTTGCCTCTCAAAGTCAACTTAACAACACATGCAAAACAAGCAATTGCTCTATAAAAGGTTCTTGGGTACTGCTGTAATTCAGGCCACACAGTGGTTCATGGCAGAGCCTAGAAATGAAGTAATACCTGGATTTAGAATTGAGATGTGCGGGTATTTTGATATTCCTTTTGCTTTTTTTTGGAGATGATTTAATTTAGAATGAAGTGGCACGTTGGACTACGATTTTGCCTTTCCAAGTTTGTATTCTGCTTTGGATATTTATCTCCTATCAGATGATAAAAAAAAAAAATGGTGTATATCTTAGAGCTTTATTTGACTGTCCGGAAGTAGAAAATATGTTTCTGAGAAGTCACGTAATTTGTCCAAGGCCATGAAGTTCATTGAGAAGCTCAACTTCTCCTTTTCTGTCCAGTATTCAAAATGCAATTGACCTCCGCAAAGATAAGAACTTTGAAAAGACACTGGATTTAGTCGGTGAATAACGATTTAATTCTCCACAAGGCACAAGGACAACAYGTGATCTCTGCATCGTTTGTTGTAGATGCTTCCTAGGAATTAGAACAATTTTGAAGAGGAAGAGCTGAGGGAAAAATGTCCGTGATCGTATACCCGACCAAGTGTAGAAAGACCCCGCTGTAGGTGCATAGTCACTCCTTGCGCATGGAAGCTGCAGAACGGGTTGGAGTCTTCAAAACTTGATATTTGCAAAGACATAGGCTTGAAGCAGGCAGTAAGGATCAACCTGATACCTATTTTGTTGTTGCTGTTCGTTTCCTAAGGTTGTGCTGATGTGATTCAACTCCTAGTTCTCTCGGAAGAAAGCATGACCTACAGATTTGAATATGAAAATAATTCTTATAAAATGAAGATATATTCAGCCCAAAGATAGGCTTTGTGCCTATTTTGGTTCAAAAGCAGCTTTCAAAGGCAAGAGTATCTTGGATTTGAGTTTTTTCCATGGATTTCATGAGATTGTACTGGCAATTGTGCTGCACATACCAGTTTAGAGTTGAAAATGCTGAGCTTTGAACATGYCCCAAAGAGCAGCAACTGCATCTTGGGCAGAGAGGTCATTTATCTAGAGTAAAGTAAGACCCGGGCTCCTTGTGCGGGGTGATGTGAGAGGCCGTGTGTCATTGTGAGCCCTGCCCCGGGTAGCTGGGCGCTCTCGGRGAGGGGAAGTGGTGTGGGGAACGTGACTGTGATCTCGGTCGATTCCTCTTTCGTCCTTTGTACTAACTCTCACTGTGGCCTGAATTTAACYCTGCAAGTGAAGCCCCCTTTTTCACTAGTTGAAATTGCTTTGGATTGGAAAGGGATGGATTTAGATAGGGCTGTATTTCTCCATGCAAACCAGTCGGGCATCCAGCTATTGAAGGAATATATTTTTGATTTTTTTCTTAATATTTTGACTGATCTGAATGTTTCATAGATAAAGGAAAGCCTTAATCAAGTCATTTATATTTTACTAATGTTTTTGTTTTGTTTAATTTGGTACATTATTCAGTTTTTATTAGCACTCCTGTTTTTATTTTCAATCAATGTCAACAGCTGCCCTTACTGTTTCTTCTGACATCCTAACACCGCAGGAACAGCCTAGTACTAAAATCCCTTTTGCTAGTACTGAGGCTTAAAATGAGAATTAAAAATAATTTGCTGAAAGATTAAATATCTCCTGAAATGTATGTTTGTCATTTTTTTTTTCTTTTGGTTTTAGTTTAATTTTAGTTAAGTTTTATTCAAATCATTCTTGTTTTTTAAATACATCTTTTATGATACCGGTCAAGTTACTGACTTGATCTATTTTTGTCAGTATTTGGCAAGCATCTCTGAACATCCATTTGTGAAAGTACAGGCAGCGTTCCTTCTTTTTACTTTTGCGCATCTGTTATAAAAGATAGGCCTCTCGGTCAGCCTTGACTAAATATTTTAAAATATTTTGGTAAGCTTTTCTTTCCAAGGATAAATACCCACTGATAAAGTAAATCCACCATAATTTTAGTTACATCTTGTTCTTGATGAACATGTTAACATTTTTGTTTTGTGAGTTTCATGCTTCTATAATAATAGCCTCTGAAGAAATAGAAGAACTCTACAGAACATTTCTTTATTAAAAAATCAAGTCAGTGTGAGTAGAGAAAGAAGTATAACTTTCCTAGCTGGTTGTTTATTCTTAAACTTACACATTTTGCTTTTGAAACGAAGTTGTTGGGAAACTTTGGAGGAAAACTCTTAAGATAATGGCATTTTGTTTGTTGTGGAGTAGAATCCCAGTTAAGAAAATCCTTGTGAACTGCAAAATAGTCAAAATAGTTTACTGTTGTTGGCTAGCTTCTCATACAAAGATTTTTGTTAATACGTTCCTTGTTGAAAAGCATACTGCTGGATTAGTCTTAAATTACATATTTTGCTTTGGCTTTTTTTTTTACATGAAGCTAATGGGTCAATGGTTGTATCTCCCTACAGCTTTCCCGTGGTTTGGCATGGACATTGGGGGGACTTTAGTGAAACTTGCCTATTTTGAACCCATTGATATCACTGCAGAGGAGGAGCAAGAGGAGGTTGAAAGCTTGAAGAGTATCCGCAAATATCTGACTTCTAACGTAGCCTATGGATCCACTGGCATTCGCGATGTCCACCTTGAACTGAAAGACTTAACAATCTTCGGGCGAAGAGGAAACTTGCACTTTATTCGGTTCCCTACTCACGATTTGCCGACTTTTATCCAAATGGGAAGAAGTAAGAACTTTTCAACACTACATACGGTGCTTTGTGCCACCGGAGGTGGCGCTTACAAGTTTGAAGAAGACTTTCGCACAGTAGGTAGCCTATCTTTCCTCGTACTGAACCTGTTGTAAAAAGCATTGCTGCTGGTGGGTTGAATATTTTGAGGAAATGCAATATTTTGAGGAAGTGTGAAATGCTTGGCGGTTATTAACTGTTCATGTGTTTTTCAGACTATTAAATATTAGTCTAGAAATATACTTCCTGGTGCCATCATCATAGACCAGGAGAGGGCTGGGAGGGAACTGCATTTTGATCTGATGCCAATAACTAAGTAGCTTAGAGGTGCTTCCATATATACAGTAAAGTGTAAGGCACCTTTATGGAAGATGACTGTTTTCTAATCCATTTGGTTTTGTTTTCTTCATGGGAAATTTACTTGAAACACTGTGGTGCTGAACTTGCTTCTGATTTTCTTTCCTATTTGGTCTTGGATGGTTTTCTCCAACCTCACTTATATAAAGGGTAATTCATATGAAAGTGGGGACCTGATTATCTTGGTGAATTTGGCCTAATAGGGTGTTAACAGGTCTGTGACAATATGACTATCTGTAAAACAATCTTTTTGACTCCAAAGAGGTGGTGTGGGGTTTTTGGGTGTGGTGGTTTTTTTTTTGTTTTTTTTTTTTTTTTTTTTTTTTTTTTTTTAAGATGAAAATTGATGATTTGTTCAGATGGAGATTCTGTCTGAAGTTACTGTTGTAATGTTATCACTAGCTGGGCATTTCACAGTATTTAGTATGTGCCTGTCCTTGCTTGGAAATAGCCACAGTCCTCTTGAGGTTCCAGATGCAAGGAGACTTTTTCAGTGTACTGAACACAAAAAGCATCGTTTCAAAATCTGTCTGTATCTCCGTTCTCCCGTCAGACCTGTGGTGGGCCAGCACAAATGTGGAGGGGTAGGGTCACAATATGTACAGAGAGCTGCTTAAGCTTCTAAAATGCCACAAAAAATACATTGTGGGTTGGACCAAATGATCTTCAGAATTCCCAACACCAACTCGTCTGTGATTGAGTGACTCACAAGTTCCCTGACCGCCTTAATTATGAAATGTCATGAACTCTTGTGCCGTGACACAGTGGCCTGGGGGAGGAGGAAGGAATGGGGAATATTGCGGGTTAGCCCTGATGTCAGGGCCTGACCGTGCAGCTTTGTGACCCGGCAGCAGGCTGCTTTTGGAAAGTGAGCTTAGAAAGATGTCTTCTGAAAGTGACTTCTCAGAAATGACTGATTTTTAAGCGAGGTGGACAAGTCCATCCCTCCCCTCTGTCCCCAAGACTGAAGCCTTGGAAAGGTGTATAGTTCTATCAGGGTACCATCATAGCCCTCGATGGAGCCTTTATGGTATTTGCTGATGGTTTTTGATTTAGATCGCTGGAACAAGGTGCTAATCTGTGATTATCTCAAAATTTCTTTGCAGAACTCTCAAAAACAGATCTGTGTACTGCCTGTCACACTCACTAGGAACCTAAGATCCATATCCGTATCAGAGATGTTTGCACACTCAGATTTAACTGTGAATGCGTGTTGACTTTCCTAACTTGGATTGAAGTTGATGAATTAGTCATTTGAGATAACTGCCTAAAGTTAGGCAATACACGTATTCTCATTAATCTGTAGCATGCTTAGGTTATGTTAGGTTATGCTAACTTTTTTCTTGTTTTTAATCTTTTTTTTTTTTTTTCCTCTGACACAGATTGGAAACCTCCAGCTGCACAAACTGGATGAGCTTGACTGCCTTGTCAAAGGCTTATTGTATATCGACTCTGTCAGCTTCAACGGGCAGGCAGAGTGCTATTACTTTGAAAATGCCTCGGAACCCGAGAGATGCCAAAAGATGCCTTTTAACCTGGATGACCCCTACCCACTGCTGGTAGTTAACATAGGTTCAGGAGTCAGTATTTTATCAGTCCATTCCAAAGACGACTATAAAAGAGTAACTGGAACAAGGTAATAAATGAAAAAAACAAGTTGGTGGCGTTACTGTTTCGAACAGTAGCCTTGTGTTTACAAAGTGTTTCCTCATCCTGAGTCCCACTCCTTTCTCTTATCCCCTCCCTTCACCTCGCAGCATGGAAAACTTATTTTATATTTAGTTTCCTGATGTATCAGTTGAAGCCCAGCTCCATAGCTTTTGGAGCTCTATTGTAGAGATTTTTATTTGTCAATCAGTGTGCTTTATAAGGGCTTCATAGGAGTGTGTTTTATGGGGTTTGGCTTGAACTTTGATAGGGTCCCTATATTTCTTTTGCCATGTACAAATAAACATGTCCACATGTGTTGTAAGGTAAATAATCTAGAATCAGCAAGAGTGGAAAGATGTTGTATTTGAGGGATTTTTAGTCTCTTAGTACATCTTTCAGCTGACATTTTGATGCCTATTTGCTGCTGCTTACTGTACAGTTAGCTTCTTGCAAGGGACTTATATCAATTTTCACCTGATTATRATAAGCAAGAAGGTTAGACAACTTGGCAGCAGAACTGGAGAGGCGGATTTGTTTTTGTTGTAGCATGAGAAGCTCTCACTTTAGGAAATGCAAAACTTTATAAGCAAACTTTTTTCTTTTTTTAGTCTAGGTGGAGGGACCTTTCTCGGTTTATGCAGTTTGTTAACGGGCTGTGAAAGTTTTGAGGAAGCTCTGGAAATGGCATCCAAAGGAGACAGCACCCACGCTGACAAGCTGGTTCGAGATATTTATGGAGGAGACTACGAAAGATTTGGCTTGCCGGGATGGGCAGTAGCATCCAGGTAATCAAGAAACCATATTTTCTGATGCACAAATCTTATAGAAGCTTTAACATCTTAATTGTCCTGGGGAGGAGGGAAAAAAAAAAAAAGGCTTAAAATGTTAATATAGAGAAAAGTGCCTTTTGCACACTTATGTTGAAATGAAGTGACATTTTCTGCCCTAAAAATATATTTACTTAGGTTTGGTGAGATTTAAAGCCACGTGATGGCGTGTGACTGAGAAAAATTGCATGTGATAAGTCATACAGCTGAGGATTTTTTTCTCATGAGTCAGAACATGAGCTGGTAGCTGGTCACAGGAGTCATCTCAGGAGTGACAAACACAAACCGTAGATGAGAAAATAATAGCAATTACTTGTTGACTTCCTAGAATTTTTTTAGGAGAAATGTTGTCCAGCTGGCAGTAGCGTAAAAGAGGAAGGAGATGCTTCAGTTTTCCCTTTATTAGCATCTCTTCATTTCTGGAATGACTCTGCTTTTTTGATACGTAGAGGTCAGTACAGGCACCTGGGATAATATTTTAGCTAGGAATTGGTGAGGGCTCTTGATCATTAAYGGTTTTCACCTGAGAATGACTGTGTTACAGAAGATTTTTTGAAATAACTGCTGTTTTTATTTCATCTGAGGAGGATTTCTAGTCATTTTTATGGTTTTCTACCGTTAAGAAAGGCAATAAGAGTAAGCTTTCAGGTTGAAACTGAACTATGCTTAACAGAGTTCAGTAAACCTATGATTTAATTTGATAGTAAAGAAGTTACAATTCACAGTAAGTTTTTTTTTTCCTTTCCCAAGGGCTGTATGAAGTCACCTGAGTTTAGAAGCAGAATATATGAGCAGAGAAGGTTTTTATACAATTTTATACTCTAGTTCATTTCAAGTGGCCGTGTGGGTAGTTACTGTTGTTCTCACTATATTAACAACCTTGAACTTTGGCTATTTGAGTCTTAGAATACTCAGCATTCTGCCTCTTGGAACTGACTTTAGGTGTGGCATGGGATCCTTAGTGGTAAAATACCAGGCTTAGCTATAGGCTCTTGTCCTTTTTTCCTTTTTTTTTTTTTTTTTTTTTTTAGAGGAAGCAATATACTGTAGATAGTGATGGAAAATGTCCTTCTCATCTAAAAGGTTGGATTTGTACAACCTAAGTCTCAGGTTACTATTTAGTGACCTAGCAGTTTGCCAGCCCTTTCTGTATGCTCTGGTTTTGAGGGTTTTATGATGGAACATAACCATTCAGCTCATCATGTTTTTCTTGTGCTGCTATCAGAGGATAGATTTTAATGAGGAAGCAAACCTGAGGAGGTGGCAAGTTAACCATCTGACTTAGGTTCTGACTTTTTCTGCAGTGTCTAGGCTACAGCGTAATTTTGCCAAAGAAAAAGGCTGCTTTCCGTTCTAGATGCTTCTTTATGAAAACTGACAATGTAAATGAAAATTTGTTGGTAGTCATCCTTGCAACAAGATTGCTGTTTTGCTGTGGAGTAGTAGAAAAGTGCGTTATGGGGTCGGTTGCCAAACTACTGCATTTATTGAGGGCTTGTAAAGTTTTCTAAGAATAAACAAGAGAAATAAGTTTTGCTATTGCATAAAAATTACACTCTGAAATTACCTTAAATGCACCCAAATTACTTTATGCTTAAGAGATTTTTTTTTCCTATTCTAGCTTTGGGAATATGATCTACAAAGAGAAGAGAGAGTCTGTGAGTAAAGAAGACCTGGCAAGAGCCATACTGGTCACAATCACCAATAACATCGGGTCAATTGCCCGGATGTGTGCAGTAAACGAGGTAAACAATTCTAAAACTGAATRATCCATAGGTCTTACTGGGCGACTTGGATTATAGGACTGCTAAAATGAAATACCACTTGAAATCTTTTAGGCCTTCCTCAAATGAAAAAAGGCAAGTTGTATTAGTGGAACTAGGAATTGGACCTGCATATTTTGAGTGTTCCGACTCGATAACTTAAATTTAGTAGCCAATAAAAAGGTTTTTGCAGCTTAAAAGATAAAGCTGATGGTGAGACTCTGAGAGCTAAGTTAAAGGAGTTGGGCACCCAAATAGTGTTCTTAATATTGACATCCGGGGAGAAGGCTGGGAGAGAAGTAAGTGCATCYCCTTGCTAAACACCTGGCCACATGGCTGGGGTCATCAATAGGGCTTTGGCTCTTTTAAGCCCTGGACACTTTTTGAGGAACAAAGGCAAAATCCTTCTGATAGAGGAAGAAACATCACGCTTGTAAGGCTTGGCTTTTGTGAGGGACCACCCCAACCTGTGCTGGGAGGGTAACATGGCAGAACACAAGCAATACAGACTCGTGGAGTGTTAGGGACATCTTTTTAACAAGCTGGCTCGGAAAGTGCTGGACTTTTTCATGATGGAGAAAGGACTGGCCAGGGACGTCAGTGGCAGCCTTAAAATTGTAGAGTTTAAGATCCTGCAGAAAGTGGAGGTAAATAGCCTAAGAGCCTAAGTGGGTTTAAGTGGAAGAGTTGTTTTGTTTTGTTTTTGAGGTGGGAAGGGATGGCTTTCCTGGTGAGAAAAGGCACCCGGCAACAAAAGGTAGTTGATCATCCACTAATCATCTGTTAATCACATTAATCATTAACAGGCTTTGTATCAGTTGAGGGCTTAGTGATAGCTTTCTGAGCTAAAGGCCACTCTGTYAAGAGCTGTGCATAAAGACTCTGACCATGATAGTCATAGAAACCTCCTTAGCTTCTCTATGTCTTTAAATGAGCACAAAGCTGGAGGTACTGATCAGCCATCTRAGAGTCCACCATGGTGTAGGAATACTGTCATTATTGCCAAGATATACATTTTGCATATAAAGACTGGGATAAATAAGTATAAACCTAAATTAATAGAAACATACAAATTAGATATAGTCCTATTTTTTCTTCATCATAAGATACATTTAATAGGGATATGCAAGCTAATATCTTGAACTCATGAATAAAGGCACAATGAATTTCTGCTTCCCAGTATTGAGCAGAATTATATTTCATTTTGGTGCCTTTATAGTATATATATTTTATCTTAACTGTGAGCTATCAAGGCAGTGAAAAGCAAATGCGTGCAAAGTCCTTTGATCACAGCTGTAGTTGTCATCGTGGTCTTGGTAGCAGCTTGAATGTTCCTATTTATTGATTTCTATTAATTCTATTCATTGATCATTCCACTTCATGTCAATTTTATCTCAGTGAATGGGGAAGATGAGGAGAGAGGAGGAAAAAATCATTTAAATTAAATTCACAGCTTCTACTAGGTACTTAAGTCCTAGTTTTATTGGGAACTCTATTGAGATCTGAAGATGAAGTAGACATCTGCTATTTCTTACTGTCTTCGGCTTCTTTACAGTGCTGCCTTGTTGCATATGGATCAAGCAGCATTGTACAGGGCTATGAAGGCATTGAGTCTTCTCTACCCAATATAAGTACCACTCTTTTGTTTGACTTCTAGCTGAACTTTGACTTAGTTACTGCAGATGCTTAGTCAGTTCATTCGAGGTACAAATGCTACGTGTCTGTATAATAAAAACTTTAYTGGTGCGGAGGGACACATTGGATTGTTGTTCTGCACAGGTGTGCTATGTTTAAATATTGCAACCGTGGTCTACCTTGTTTTTCTTGCTCAATTTTTATTTCGTACTTTATTTTTTTTCACAGGCATGTTAAATAATGAAAATATTTAACTCCTTTGCTATCTTTTTGTTCTTTTTAGAAAATAAACAGAGTTGTCTTTGTTGGCAATTTTTTACGCGTGAATACTTTGTCAATGAAGCTTCTTGCATATGCACTGGATTACTGGTCAAAAGGCCAACTGAAGGCCTTGTTCCTAGAGCATGAGGTATGTTACGGTTCATTTACGTGTATGTATTGTTTTACCATGAATTAAAAATGCACATATTGAATAGCTCTCAAATGTGATATCTGGAGATACCGAGTGTTCAGTCAACACTGAAAATGAGATGAAGTTTCTCATGCTCTGTCGGTTCTCTAGGGACAGTTCCCCCTGACACAAAAGGAGTATAGTTAGGTTAGARTATCTGCTCTTGCTAGATATTTGCACAAAGAAAGAGAATTTAAGTTTTAAAAGAAGATTAACCTATCTTTCCTTGTCTGCAGGTAGAAACAATAGTTAAGTGTTATATTTCAAAAGATCATGGTGGGGTCTAAAGCACAAGCCTTTGAAATATTTATGTTGCTCTCAGTTAAGCTCGAGCAACGTCCTGAAAATCAATACTGCCTTTGACCAGGGTTACTTCCACGCTTCCACAGGCAGATCTCAAGCCTTTTGCAAAGTAATTTTATRCTCTGTGAGTAATCTGCTTTTGGGCAGTTGATGCAAACTCTAGATTATGCTGAGAGATGTTCTAGTTAAAATGCAGAGAATCGGTATTAATGACTGGTCCAGCTGCCAGGAGACTTGCAGCCTTTTAGGAAGGGTTTGGAAATCTTGGACTTTGGTCCCGCAAATATTATAGGATGTGAGCTGTCCTTCCCTTTAGTCAATTCTGGCAGCTTGTTTGTTTGTTTCTTTTATGGCTTATCCTAACACTGACAGTGCTCTGTTCTGGTAGTAGTAATAACAGAGAGTTCCTTCTTAGTTCCACCCCTTCAAATATTTTTTGGATATATTTTGAATTCAGTATAAATCCCAAAGACTGTTGTGAAACCATTTTATATTACACATCTGTAGAATGGGAGAYAATCTTCCTTTCCCACAGGGAAAGATAATCTAACAGAAAAATGTGGATTTTTGTGTACAGCCTGTGCATGCAGTTCAAAAAATGGCATTGGGGTCTGGGGATACTTTCTTTACAAACTTAAGGTGCAGTTTAAGAAATTTCATATTTGCACTTCAGGAATAGATGGATTAGCTGTGGTTGTTGACTATCCTTTGGCAAGCAGAACATGTAGTGCCTCTAGAAGAAAGGGGAAAAAGAAACAGATTTATTATCTATAARTCTTTTTTGGAATAGGAGATCCTTGGAAATCTGTCTTGGAAATCCTGTAGCATGTGGGTAGGCTTTTGGGGGATTCTTTTTGAGTTAAGGATATAATGTTTGGTTTGCAATTATTTTAAAAWGTTAAATGGAAGATGATATTTTAAGAATGTATGCTCTTTGTATGTATCATTGTCCGTGCTCATACTCTGTCATTGAAATGTGTGATAAATGCCATGTTTCATTTTCTAGTTGAAGCTGAAATATTTATTTATTTGTTTTGAACAGGGATACTTTGGAGCTGTTGGTGCTCTTCTTGGGTTGCCAAATTTCAGTTGAGATACCAGCTGTCACTGCACTGAACTGTTTTCCACCTGGATGGCACTTGTCTGTGGCAATGGAAGCTAAATATGGGGAGGGGAGATGAAAGCAGCAAATTGGCTGTAACTGTTTTTAAATTTAAGAAGTGATAAGCTACTGAATATTGCCATTGTAAGGAAGGGGTTTATACTCTTTTGGGCATTGAAAAGTGAAATGTTAGGGATATCGTTTATGTTCTTCGGCACACGTAGCCAGTATTGAACTTGTGATATGCAATACATCCTCTGAAAGCAAGCTTCCAGAAGAAGGAATGGCAATCCTTTAAGTGTTCAGACCCCAAATTCTGTGAGTTTAAGGCTCTAAGCCCGTATGTTTTGAATAGAATTGATGAATGAAAAATTATTTTCACTAGTTATGCTGTATTAAGAGTAAAATTTCCCTTCAATACTTGCAGAATAAACAACTTTGGAGTRCTGGCAATGAGGGGGGCAAGCTCCACACAGTTGCTTTCCCCAATAAGAATAGCAAGGTGTTAAGACCATTTGTTAAATTAATCCTCCTGTTTTGATGGAAAAATATTAATGCTTTGTTTTTCAGCGAGGAAAAATAAACGGACAAAAGATCAGATAAAGCAAAGGAGCAAGTAGTTGTTTTGATGATTTGCTCAAGGTGTGCACTTGCCCTCCTCACTTAATTGAAAATATACCATGTATTTTCAGAAGATCTCTCCTGTCTTTGGATGAGGATAGAGATTCAAAGAGCGAGGATTTCTTTGGGACGGTATGTCTTCCAAATCTGCCTGGTTGTCCTCTGGTTTTCGGTCTATTTTATGAGCAAAATTCTGATATTGTCACTTTCAAAGGTACGGCCGAGCCTTCAGGCGTTGAAGGTGACCCTCATAAAACAGACTAAACCTGGGACCTTGTAATTCTGATTGTTTAACCCATTATTTCCTTGTATGCTTGAAAAACTTCTCCATTCTATAGTTAAAATATATGATTTCTCTTTTTTTATGGGTTTATCAGTATCTAATAAGACATCAAAAATGAAAGCCTTTAGCTTGGATTTGGAAGTTAATTTTTGAGGGACAGCGTCAGAGTTTTTATTGCAGCACCGAAAGGACCAATATTTAGTGCCCTTGTTATTATGGAACTGTCCATCATACTGTGGCCTTGGGATAAAATCCATACTCTGGAACTGTTTTTTGTTTTGTTTTCCTGTATACTTAAAAAATTTATAATTATGGTTACTGTAATAAATCTAGTCTTGAAGCCAGGACATGAGATCTTAAACTAATAAGAGCATTATACAGACATTAGCTATGTAATTCTTTGTAGAGTAAAGAAATGACCAATTTTATGATTTTCATGTTAAATGTTCCTATAAGTGCATGAAGAGCAACCAGACAAGATCACATTTGTGTTGGGTTTTAATGCGTTCTTAAAATTGATCTCTGGATTATTCCACAGCACGGCTGCGTTGTATTTACAGTACTCCACCTATCCACCTAGCATGTTAAGAATTTTATGTGCTGTTTTCAGCCATCCGCCTCTTCTTTACATTCAGAGTTCCATACTAATGTCATTTCTAAAAGCAAAACCTCCTGTAGTCCTTCAAGAGTGCAGTAATTTAGAGTAGCCACTTCATTAAGCCTGGTGCCAATTATCAAGTACAGATTGGTCCATTATTGCATTTTTCTGGTACTCACATGACACTTCCATTCTTCTTGCTTTGATAATGTTTTAGTCTAGAGAGAATAAAAAGAATGATTTACACCCACAGTTCAGCTTATCTGTGGTAATCAGAGAAGCTGAGAAAACGGATGGATGTGGCTTGTATTGCGTGTCTTTAAAAAATAGTAATGGCATTTATAAAGTTATGAAGAACTATAGAAGGTAAGCTTTATTTGGCTAAAAAAACTTCATAAAAATTAAGTTTGAGGGTTTTGACAGTTTCTTGTAATCTTTGCTCACTGTGGTCTTTGTTTTCTTTTTTTGTAAAGTAAAATTCTTCAGGATACCTCTACCATAACTTGATTAAGAATAGTTCCCTTATTCCATATTTATTGCTACTTCTCATATTTTGTGTTACTGAAACGCAGCTGCGCTTGAAGCAGCTGTGTTAGTTGGAAATAACTTCTGCCTTTAACCAGAAGTGCAGGCAGGAGATGATTAGCCAAGGACCTAGGTGAATTGAAACCCTTTGAAATCGATGTGACGTCGAGATACGACACTTTTAAGGAAAACTGTACAGCGTTCTGAAATAAACTTCTGAAGTAGTTCTTGAATAGTTGTACTGTATTGAAACTGCTGTGAGAATGAGGAAGCGTGCCCTACCTCTCTCTTAGCCCCTGTGCTCGGTTAAAAATCGGTTTCCTTTCTGTAGTTGTAATCAGCCCCACTGGTATTTATTGCAGAAGCCACCAGAGCAGTTTTTAGGCCTGCTGAAAAGCCCGAGGGTGCTGTTTTCAAGCTGCATCTTTAGCTTTTGTCTCATTATTCGTTCTCGGCTTGAAACTTATTATTAGACTCTCCAAAGCATGACATGGCCGTGAGTAGAATTGCTAAGCATCACAAATACTTGTAGAATTGTCTTGGAATTTTTCTATCTATCTTCTAAATAGGTTGAAAAGCTGTCTCATTTTTCCTATAGAATCACTGCAGTTGAGTTGGTATTCTGACTTTTTTTTCTTTCTCTCACACTTGCCATTTCCTTTCTTCATAGCTAATTGATTGAAGTGACTTCAGAACTGATCAGTGTCGTGTACTGTAGTAGAAGAAGCCTAGTTTTTCCTCAGGTCTACTGGTGTCTTCCCAAGTGGGACAGCTTCTTTAAAGGTTGTGGTACTTCTAAAGTAAAAGCAAAACTCCTCTTGAATGTGTAATCACTTTCAGCTCCATCGGCCATGTGAGTGCCTTTTAATTTTTTCATATAATGCCAATTTTGTTGGGACTGGGACATGATCCGTGAGGTTTCCTGGCTCATATTACTCACCAGAGAAATTGCAATTTTGTTGGTCATAGAAATGATCCCTTGGGTCCAGCGTATTCAGCGAYTCTGGGAAAATTGCGTGAAGGTTCCGGCTTTTTTCAGAGACCTTAGATTTGCATTTCTTCTTTTCATCCTTCTAGCTTGAGCTTTTTAAGCATTACGCACAATTTTACTGTATCAGTATCTCCCTAAAAATCATACTAGTTTTTAGTCAGAAAAAATATAAAGTATTTCTAGACAAATGAATTTTATATCCAGCTATCCCCCGTAGGTATGGCAATTAAATTTAACCACTTCTTTTCACCCTTTCTAGTTCTGCCTAAGCTAGCTGCAGTTTGAACAAGAAGGGAACTTTTTTACAATATATTTTCCATATTTAGCAACATGGAACAAACAGATCTTCAGTCATTTTTACAGAAGCTTGCGGAGGTTCAAGTATAAACGCTTTTCTGTTCTTTTTAATAAGACCTCTTCACCCATGGAGCGACTCCGATACCGTTTATTTGAAGGTCTGGACCAAACCTATAGCAAGGTAAAAGGGTGTTCAGATCTCCAGCTTGCCTTTTGAAGAACATTGCCTTCTTTCSATAGCGTGTTTTGCGGGCACATGCCTCTGCGATTGCTCCGCCGCGTCAGAGGTGACCTCCTTTTGTAATGTGGGAGTCCGGACGAGACAAGAATTAAGAGATCCTGCAGAGAGTAAGACTCTCAGTCTGTATATTACAAACAAAAGTAGAGTTATGGTTTCTAATAATGCATTAAATATTCCTTCAGTGGTACTCTGAGAATCTTATTTGCTTATGTGTCTGATAACATACACACACGGTGCTTTTATTGCCCTTGAGAGCTGTAATAGTAGCTCTTTGTCTCCACCCGGCGCAGATCTTCAGAAGGTATCCGGATAAGTTGCGGCAACTTCACATTTTTTTTAATGCTTCAGAAAARCAGTAGGATTTTGACGCGTGTAACTAATTCAAGTGTATTTTTTTCCTTTTTCTTTAGAGCAAATTTGTACTCCTTAAAGACAAGGCAGTGTCCTATGAATTCAATCTATAAGTTACATTACTGCCCAAATTTGCATTCAAACTAATTTTTAAACACGACTTCCATTATTTGCCCTGTGGAACGTGGATGGCTCTAATCTTGAGGAAGCAGGTTAGTTCATTTCAGAATGGAATTGGAGATGGATGCAGTTTTGTTCACGCACATGTAATTAAGGTAGTTTTTTGCTTTGTCACTTTTTCCTAATAAAATGAGTTTTGATATCCTTTTTGGATAATACAGGCTTAACAGTCACAGAGTGTGCAGAGGAATTTCATTGGGTTAAGAGAATTGTTGTGGATGAAATTAAAAGTATGTGAGCAAGAAATGCAGATTACAGAGCGGATCTATAAAACATGCTTGACACAGCTCGTGGTTTCTTTGCTTTTAATTTTCCCATTTTGATTTAAGCCACAGATAATTGTGGATAAATTGAATGAATTATTTAGGTTTCTCAGACATAAGCAAGGCTGTATGGTATGCAGCAGATATGACACACACGCACAATAAAAACCCTTATCCTACAGGATAGAGGGGTAATTCCTCACTTGCGTTCTTGGAGTTTTAGTAACATGTTCCAAAGAACATTGCTGATGTTCTGTCAGCTGTGATAAGATAGCACGGTTCCCTAGGTTTAGAAAAGCAATCTGGCTTTTACAAGTTGGGTTTACTTTTTGACACGTGTAAAGTTACTAAACCCTCTTAAAAGCATGCTTTTGGGGAACATCTCTGTTAAGATGCTGTAATATAACTGTTAATGTGTTAATGGAGTATGAGCAGTCTAGGTGAGAATACCTGAGTGCCAAATCCTGCTCGCTTGACTAACTCAAGCAGACAATTCTCTTAAGCAGAGATGATTTTAAACTTAATGAGCAAGATTTGGCCTCGATGCCTTCTGCCTTGGGAACATAGTAATGCTACTTGGCATATTCCTGCTGGTGCTAAATCGCTTGCTGAAAAATCACGATTCTAAATAGAAACTGTAAATAAAATATTCATGGCCTGGTCCTTTTGACAGACTTCAGTTTACGAGTTGCGATTTTTTTTGTCTTTTTCCTTATTTCAAGCTTCCCTTTTACTGCGACTGTGCAGACCGCAGTCATTTATATAGAAAATTGCTGACAGCTTTGGCTTTCGTGGCCCTTTGTGCAAGGCTCGTAACATTCCAGTTGTGCATTAGGATACAGGTCGCTCTTCGGGGCCAGGGCTTGGCGTTCCCCCAGGCTCRTTTCGTCGTCGTAGCTGTATACATGGTTAGTAACCACTGGGTCAGTATATGCCCTCTGCCAGAACTTCCAGAAATGCAGTCGTTCCTGTAAGCATTTGAGGGGGAAGGATTGAAAAGGGAAAGAAAAAAAATAATGCCGCGATGATCTATCTTTAAAATAAACTGGAATATGGTGTAAGAGTTGCTAATCTTCAACAGATAGCAATTGCTAGCATTGCACATTGCTTGTAACGTCAATTTAAGAAAACTGTAAGTACAMCCTTTGGGAGGAGGCTTTGGTTTTATACTGTGCATAACAAAAGGTAATTTCATTACGAGACTGTAGTGAGTTAGTACTTTGAGAAATATTAAATTACAGAATATGAAAATTAGCATATTGATGTTAGAGGAATAGAGGGCTTTTGATAATCTGTAGTTTTTTACCATATAAGTTTTGGCATTTTAAGGAGCAAATATTCAGATTTTTTGTCTATTGTCTTGTCATACGCAGGCCTTCTAAAGACCAATTTCTATCTTCCGAGTGTTTTAGTTGCTTAGCAAAATGAAACTTAGAAACTAAGTTCTCCTCGGAGCCATTTGTTTAAGTTGCCTTATTCTAATGCATTGCACTCACGTTAGGTCTCCACCTTCTCATTTACTGTTCTGACACTGAAGATGTGATGTACAAATGTGCTACCAACTTTTAATCATACATTATTGATCGATACCTTTGTGCCCCCTGTTAATACAGCTCTTGTAAATGATAACCTCATGCCCTCTGTAATACAGCTCTTGTAAATTGCTTAAATTATTTTTCCTTTTATAAATTCTCGTTGCTGAATGTACAGATGGGTCCCTTTGGTATCTCAGTGCGCAGTTACGCTGTATCCACACTGTAACTGATCCCATCAAACCTGTACRTAACCCTTCACCGCTCGCTCGCACGGACCCGCTCCGGATTCCGGTTGCTCTCGCATAAGCCAACTCCCCTGCGATGGGCCTACGTTTCATGGGTTATTTTCCCGGTTTTGTTTCCTCTTTGTTCTGTATGAATGTTGAACAGTACTTTGTCTTTTCCTAATAAATAATTTGAGATCTTCATTGTCTTTCGGTGTTTGTGAACGATTGCCTTTATTTTTCCCGCTTAGCAGTATAGATTGCTATGTTAATTCATGCTGACTGTTACTGCATAACAGTCACAGTAAGGCAAGTGTTGCAATAAGGAGAGYGCGACGCCGGCCGAGGGAGCAGGCGCAGCCCCCGCGCCGCTGCAGTCGGTGCASATCGTGTCCCGTTGGCGGAAGATGACTCGGTTTTTAAGGATGGGAGGCCGGCCTCCGCGAGGCAGCGATGGAGCCCGGCTGCTGTGTTAGTCCTGCGCCTTCCTGGAAGTGCTGTTAGGGAATGGAAATGAAGGTGTCCCAAGAAACAAAACAGGAGAGCCGGGAGCCACCGGAGCTACGGTGTTCTCTGCCATTCTGTCCCCTTGCTTCTAAACGGTGTGCGAACAGTAACTCATGAGGTGCCCTGGGTTCCGCGTAGAATGGGAATGTGCTCCATCTGCCTGTACAAAGGTGTGTTTTTATACCAAGTATAAAGTAATGAATCTCTAGGGCTGTACAACAGCTGCTGTTGCATGGTACCTATGGACTGGCTTGCAAGAGAAGGTTTCTGCTACCTCTAAATAYATGGTTGAGGTAGCTCAGAAACCTAGCCTCCTTTTGTAGTTGTACAGGGCTTTGGGACAAGTTGCCTTGAGGAGGATGTGATCCTTGGCTCGGATCCTTGAAGCTGGACACACAGTGAAATGACATGAATATGTGTTGTATGCAAGCTAGAAGCAGTTACGGAAGAAATAACATGTTGATGTGAGTTCAGCTTCCTTGGCAGACCACACAAGGAAGCTCTTCAGTTGGCAGAAGATGCCTATCTGCTGAAAGTGTCCATAAACCTACTCCATCCAGAAAAATACGCACACGTAGAGGGATTAACTTCGCAAAAACGTTGTGTGGGATTGACAGGCAGCATGGAAAGGTTTTAACCCATGCTGGGACAGATGCCTTTGAGCTGCATTAACACTGGATGCCCTCAGGCCTTGAGGTTCTGGCAGAGCCACACTGATGGAGAGAGAAGCTTTTGGCGATGGTTTATTGCAGCTGAGAGGTGGGGGTGGCTGAAGAGCCTTTTGCATCATTGTCTTTTACATAATCATAAAGATTTCAATTTTTTTTTCCCATTAAAATAGCTTACAGACTGAGCTATGACTAAAGTGCTGTAGCTACTTTTTTAAGATGAGAACCAAATGAAGAGTGATCTACATTGACATACTTGTTTTTTAAGTAGGTGCTGGAAATAAATTTTGTGAAATGAGGAAAATAGTATTAAGACAGAGCGAAGATTCATAGCCAAGCTCTAGAGTGCAGGTACTGAAAGGTAAAGCACCTCTAGCCCCTGGGATTACAAAGGTGAAAGAAACACTAAGAGCTGTGTTTGTACAGGGAATTTTGAATAGTGTTGTCACTTTTCACCTCACATGCCCTAAAAATAAGAGGAAAAGGAAAAGCTAAGCTGTGTAGGTGCCCAGGGATAGAAATAAGTGCTTAACGGGATCATCCGAGGACTTTAGCTGTCCCAGTACTTTAATCCTTAGCCTTTGCAGTGCAGTGCCTAGATGCTTTGCCAAAGCCTGGGCTGTGCAGCTGGACTGTTGGGATTTCCTCCCCGTCCTCTCTTCCTCATAGTAAGTGATGTAACAAACACCTCGGAAGTTCCATGGGATCAGCCTGTTCCCCTTTAAGTAGGGCTGATAAGTGAAGGGTTTCCATTTTTTTCCCAATGTTTGCAGTCCTACTCCTTGTGACAATACATAATCCTCTGTGCACAGGGAGGCTTTCATTAACGGCTTGGTGGTCAACGTGGATCCTTGATACCCCATTGGAATTTGCTTTTCTGTCGTGTGTGCTCCAAGAGCCAGCGCTGCCCCAAGGCTCAGCCTGAGCTCCTGGTGTACCGGGCAAGGGGGAGGATCTCAACGGTGAGTCCTTTTGCTTATAATTGGGATCGAATCAGGAGCCATCGGGCTCATTTGAATGAGGTGACCGCTGGAGGCTCCGGCTATTGCAGCCTTTCTAGATTGATCCGTGCTTTGTGCGAGTTAACATCCCAGCTCTACGTGGCATCCGAAGGATGTCTGTCAGCTCAGACTGAGATCCCAGGGGAACATTTATGTCAGGCAGTTCTCAAGTCCTTTGTGGTTTAGGATTTAATGGATTTATACCATATAAAAGCTGAAGGCATGGAGAACAACGGCCTGCGAATGCCTTCACACTAAACAGGAATTAAATTACGCTGTGGTCAGTTTTGAAAACAAGTCCTAGGCAGGAATATGTAATATTTATTAATACAGTTATAAATACCATGTGTAAGTACCAGTACAGTTGATGTGGTGAGGACAGCACAGCTGGAGACCTCATGAAAGGTCCGAGGCCCTGCCGGGCTCTGGCCGTGATGGATTGATGCCTGCTGCCAAAAAAATACAGAGCTGTTGGTCCGTATATAAGTGAATCTTGCTGTCTGTGGTGCAAAAGACTTTTATGGTGTGATAGAAACATCAGAGGCATTTAATGGTCTTGGTGCTTTCATGGTTTTATCTGGTCTGACAAACTGCTCGAGCTGCATTGAGCTTTTGAGGAGCAGCAGAAACTGCTCTGGTGACAACCTGAGCCTCTGCGTAAGAGCAGCAAGAAGATTTCCCTAAATGAATTTCTAATTCAGCTGCCTATAACACTTTCTCAGAAGAAATCTAATCCTAATATTCAAAATCCAGTGATCTATTACAGCCCTTGAAATGTTTTATGAGACCTAAATTGCCCTAATCATTAAAATTTTCCACCTTATTTCAAGTCTGAATTTCCATCCAAACCATCATGTCCAATTTATATGCTAATAAGCAGACACATTTAAATTTCAACCAAACTGYGTTTTTGAAAGTAAATTCTCCCATAAAACTGTGTGTTTTTCAACCAGTTCAGTAAACATATATTGCTTATAATAGCTCCAGTAGATGCTTCTAAGGAAAGCCAGCCTGCTCGAGTGGCTTGGGTGCTGTAGAAAATGAGTTAGATGATAGAAAATCTGCACAGGCTGTTAGTGTGTTGCCTGTCTCCTGGTATATTAGCTTCTGATGCAAAACCTGCCCAAGTTGTTATTGCAATCTCAGCAGTTAGGTTGGTTTAGAKCTGGGTCCTAGGAACACAAGCACAGTCAAATCACGACAGCCTCCGTCAAACCCCGGGCGATGCTTCGTTCTGCCTCCCTGGGGCCGCGCTGCTCCCGGGAAAGGCTCGACCCAAGGAAGGGCAAAGCCTGACGGGTTGCTCGGAGCCTCTGRACGTGCCTTGTCCCATCTGAGGTCCATGGACTGCCTCACAGCGAGTTTGTGCTCCGCGCTCGTGCATGGAGACTTGGAGACATGGATGTTTACAGAGGGGGGGAAAAACATGAGATTCCAGAGCTGAAATGCAGAGTCAGCGTTGGGCCAGCGCCAGGACCCGTTTGCATTTGTGGATATACCTGCATCATCTGCACCTTCTGTGTCGCAGTCTTCCTGGTGTCTGTATTTAGTAATTTTCTCTGTGAATTATTACATATCTTGTAGAGAAAGAATCCTTAAATTTGAGTTTATTGATGAGACTTTTCTTTAACTCTCAAGCAATACAAGTGCAACAAATAGCAGCTGTAACTCCAGCTTTGGAGCTCCTCCTTGAACATGTGCCTGTCCATCGTGTGTATTTGCAGAGAATTTGATCTTGCTCTGGCAGAGCAAGGAAATCCAGAGCTGCTTTGGCCTCTCCTCCTGCTTATCCCTTATGTTGGCTTCTGTGCCTCTATTCGCACTGGGACAGACGTGCAGCTCCCACCCCTGACTCTATTCCAGGCAGCCTTCTTCGGCAGGCTTTAATCTAAGGTTACCCTCAGACACGTTTGCTGACAAATGGGAGTTTGTCCAAGCCAGGCTTGTCTCTGAGAGCCTGCTGCGTTTCAGTTTGGGTCACAGGGAGACCAGTTAAAGCTGGCGACAGCAAATGCTCTTTAATGAATCCACTCTTGGGTCTGGTCTGAAACCAGATGTGACTTAGAGAAACAGGTTTGCATTTTTCTTYAGCGTCCCGCTTGCCTGTGGAGTTGCTACGGGACATGTAAATAGGATATATTATTTTTCCTGTTTGTGCTCTCAGCAAATGCTTCAAGACCAAATATAAACAGAGGGGGCTTTTCTAGAAGAAAGATCAAATCTGAAAAGGTGAAACGGGACAGCAGCAGTTTTCTTTTACGAACTGATGCGATGTTAGGTGAAGTCGTGTCTCTAAGTTCACGGACCTGTTTAGGTCAAGCCCTTTAATATCAGAACATGTCTTTTGTTGGGATGCGATTTGATGACGTGAAGAGTTTTCAGTCCCTCCTAGCAATGTTCGATTCCTACATCGCTGTTCTCTCGTGGCTTTAGTCCCTCGATYGTAGGGTTCACTGCGCTTTTCCAAAGCAGAGGATGTCAACAACGTGCAAAAACGTATTTGGAAAGTCTGCTGCTGCCCTCACTGCAGCTTAGTCCACTCAGAAGCGCTCCTGGAGCAAAAAGAGATCCAGCACTCAAGAAGACGCTCGGTAACTCTCTCAAAAGGTACAAAACTGGACACCTTGAAATAACACTTGCCTTTTGAGATGTGTATTTGAAACATGATTCTGGTTTATAGCATCATTCATGATTTTGTTCATGTTTTGTCATTCTGAAGAAGTACTGGACCGCTGCCCTGCCCTGT